AAGAATACGCAGAAACAGTGACTGAAGTGAGAAGAGAGAATTTGGAGTAAAGTAGCCTTTCTCATAGATTCATGTGTTTCTGTTTTGTGTTTAGAAACTAGAAACACAGACATGAAATACAAACTTACTTTTTGTGTGTTAGATGATGGCAGTGGATGGGGGATCCTTGCTACAATCAGTTGATTGACCTGCCCTGGCACTAGCAGTAAATGACATAAAAACCTGTACTGCAATCTCAGGATGGAAACTTCTGTTATGTGACTCTGGCAAATAGACTTTTACACCTAATTATCACAGAGTGTGCTTTGCGTTCCTTGCTGCCTGGTTATGCTTGTGCTCAGTATCTCCTTCATTAGTTTTAGCCCTTCTTCCGCCCTGTGCCTCACTAATCAGAGCTAAGTAACATTCATCGGTAATCCTTTTCCTCCTCAGCCCTCTCCCAGGTAAAGCTGTATGGGTGTTTGAGAACAGGAGGAGTTTGTATTTTCAAAACAAGGGCTGTCTCTTTTAGATACTCATGAAGAAGAAGCTAAAGTTAGGAAAAATGGCATTATTAGTCCGTCTGTGAACTACCCATTTCCTCTTTCCCACTGCTAAAGCCAGTGTTACTTACATCTTTGTCAGTACAATAAATTTCCATCATTTTCGCAAATGCTCTCCCTCCTTTAGGGATTTTCCATTGCAGTTGGTACTATGCAATCCTAACCACCTCTTCCTAAGTTACATTGCCTTCATTTGAGGCATTCCCACACAACAGAGCGCAGCAGTGATGGGATGTACCTTGGGTCAGTATACCGAGGTGAATTAAAAGGTGTGAGCATCGCACTGCATTTGCTCTTTCTGCTTGCCACTGCCTGCCTTGTGAATAGCACACTCATATTGTTTGCCAACTTGCAGAAAAGAAGCTGGTTTTATGAATGCCTACCATGCACGTAAACAGACACCGTGAGATTTAACAGACAGGAGCAAGTGATGATAGGTTGTCATCAAATTATTCCTTTATATTTTATACCAACAAGGATCATCCAGATTCTTTGGAAGGAGGATGCAGGAAATATAAAATGCACTTTAGACAAGATTTTCATTAAGAGAACCCAAGTTTGCTAATTCTAATGCCCAATTGTAACCTCAGTTTATTTTTTCTCATTATTGGTCTCCTCTCAGCTTAGTGGTAATGAAAACAAAGCAGCCTTGGCCAGCCATTTATGTGGAAGGAAATTGTGAGCACAGCATGTCTCATCAAAGCAATGGGTTCTGCTGTGTTTTTTGTGTATGGTATAACTGGACATCCCATCTAGTCAAGAAAACCCAGCTCTGGATGAAGCCAAAAGAAGACACAGGGAATGAGACAAAGTTTATCAGGACCATGAATACCTACAGGTTGTAGGCTGAGGGAACCCAGGACCAGCTCAGGATGCTTTGTTTTCCATTCAGAGCCTGACCCTTCTGTCTGAAGTAGGTTCCAGGCTAGTTTGGAAAAAGGGGAGTTTTGGCTAGAGGGATTTGGGACACAAGTGGCTAGGTCTTCAGCTGTCATAAATCAATGCATTTCCATCTATGATAATGTCTGGAACACACTGAGAACATCTTTCTGTGTTTCTGAGCAGGTTTGTTCCATTTAAGACTGCTTCCAATTTTCATATGGTCTAAGATGTTCAAGTCTGAGAGTTTTTTGCTTGGAATAGAATCTCACAAAAGAATAATATTTGAGGGCATTTCTGGAGCATAAGCAGTTTATCAGTAAGTAACAACTTGCATTGCAAGTGCTTCCCCAGAAAGGTCAACTGACAGAGGTGTTTTCCACACTCCCCTCAGAACTGTAGGTTTTTGCTCTTCCATCATGTGATGCTCTAAGAAATGAGGCTACACACGTACGTTTAATATTATAGTTCCCTCGTGATATCTTCACTTTCCTTAATGAGGGCAGTGTTGCTAACTTGTTAGGAGCCTGAGGACTGTATCAAATTAACATAGCATGGAGGAGAAATTAACAGAGAGAGGAGCTCCTTGCATGAAATGGAGTGAGATCACTGATGGCCCTTTCTTCAGTCATTATTTTTGTATTACAGACAAAATGTTAACAAGGATAATATAGAACACTGTTACTCAGAACTGGGATGCCCTTGTTTTTATTCAAAAACCTGAATGACCAAAAGTAATTAATCCTTCGCCATACTAATTATATAATAAAGGAAGCATGATTTGGGTGTTTAACTGTGAGAAAGAAAAGGAAGGGGCATGGGTCTTGGTAAAATTAGTGGGGACAAACAACAATGCATAAAAGAATCTTTTAGTTTTGCGTGTGTTTACACATGAGTAAATGGACAGTCACACTGTTGTCTCAGTAGGATAATGCTGTGCTGCTGCTAACATGCAAGAAGTCAGAATGTGTCTCTTTCCATACTTCATCATAAAGCAAAATCTGGCAAGGGTTAGAGAAAGCAACAAAAGAGTGCAGGAGAATGGGCTCATGAAGTGAGGGGAGTTTCAACAGAAACATCCATACCATGTTTTTCTTTAAAATTTTCCTTTGCAAAACATGGTTGACAAAATACACCCTCTCTGCAGTGATTTTTGTCAGCCATACATACCACTCTTTTACAAGCACAAAAGGTACACAAAGAAGTCAGCAAACTGGGAGGGTGTGTGAAATATAGAGCCCGTGTAATGTTTGTGAAGATCAAATTGCTGCAGCCTTGGCCTTTTAGTGCTTGTGGCTTGCTTGTGCAATGATAGTTCCTAAAAAGGGCTGTAAGCACTCATGGCAGGACATCTGTTCTGCAATGGCAATGGGGGCAAGGTGCTGCTTCCCCACAACCTTCATTTGTGGTTTCACTGTGCAAAGTGGGTGAGTCACTACTGACAGATCCAAGGAGCCGTAAGCCCAGGCATGATCAGTGTGCTGACAGCAGCAGACATTCTTCTAGATAATGATTATTGCCAAATATCTCATTTTTTTTCTGGCAAAGTCTTTCTCTCAGCTTCTATGATTCTTGAATGCTGGGAATGCTGGAGGCAAAAATCTCCCCTCATCCCCCTGCCTAGGTGTCATGTGCAGGGGCATCTTCCCCTGCCTGATGGTGGTTATTACAACAAGAGGAGTTAATGAGGGACTGAGCCAGTCCACAGAAACCTGCTAATTAACTTTGGGATACACCTGGTTGTATCTTGTAGTGGTAAACAATTTTATCAAAAGATACCCAAGATCAGCAAAACCAGCTCCATTCCTCCCTGGCTCTAGGCATACAGGCTGTGCAACGTCTCTGAATCCAATAAAGAAGCCCTGGCCAGCAGCATTTTTGTACCAGTGTAGTCATGGACTAGTTTTGGAAAGTGCTTGGTGGCAGCCCAAGCTTGTGTTGGCTTTGGCAAGGTGAGCGTGTGGGCATCAGTCCCCAGAGGGCACCGCCATCTGCTGCTGGTGGCACTGGGGAGCTTCACTGCTGTTTGCCAACAAATGGCTATGAAACACTGGTGGTCAAACCCCACTTGCTTAAAGGCAGCTCACAGTCATGGGCCAGATGGACTTGTCTTGTTTCTTACAGTTCCAAAGACACAATATACAAATACAAATATGAAGACTTACAAGTCACATCCTAAACTAAACATAAGTATGGGGAGTGATGCTCCTGTGGGGAGAAGTGCTAATTAGTGACACCTTCTGCTACAGAGCCCAGCAACAGACGGGTCTTACTGTAAATGAGTAGTTGGTCTGGAAGGACTATGCTCTAGGGAACCTGCAGGAGTTAGTTAGATTTAGCTATACCAATTGGTAATAATCCGTGGACAATGAACACAGGAGGTAAGATTTGTCAACTAACAGTACAGACAAAATGACAATAAGATACGCTTTGGAAAAATGACTGCAAGGTTTTATCTTTCTGGTTTGTTTTTTTTAACAGTACCATGGTCAAGCGATATGCGTCCTTCTCTTGGCAGCATTGGAAGAGAATTGCGCAAAAGAATTTTCCAGGTTCTGCCACAGACCCTCTATGAGATCTTAGTCAAGTCACTGAGTCTCGCTGTACTTTATAACTTGAGGACAGTAATATTTCATGTCCTTTATCTGTGAGTTTTCTGGCAGAAGCTCTTGATCTGCATTTGCCATCACTAGCCTTCAAGCAGTCAGGGGGGAAAAAAAGCATTCTCTTCCACAAAGTTGGAAATATTCTGTTGAAAATCTCTGGTTAGAACACTTCAATTTTCAAGCAGAATCTTGAAATTTGCTAAGAAAATCAGACATTTCATACAAAATATTTTTTTTCTTTTTTTTTTTTCCCCCTGGACTCTGCATTTTCTATCAGGGAAAAAAAATAATCTACCCTGTTATCTGTAATTGCCAAGCCTAATGGACATGTTTCTGGGATGCGGGACTCCTGGGTTCAAAAGCAGACAGAGTACAGGTTAAAATGGGTCTTTTCTATTTCAGTGAATGCCCTGCACCCTCTGGTGTTGGCTGTTACAACACAGAAGCTCTTTTCTTGGCGTTTCCTTTCGAGGGGCTCAGGCGGAGGGTGCCTGCTCAATGGGCTGAAACATTTCCTTTCCTCTGGCACTCCACTGAGCTTCCAGCTTCACATGAGGATCCCAGGCAGATCCCTGCAGGCTGCAGGCTCTCCCAAGTGATGGAGAGCCATGCAACCAGGCCCCAGTCCTTCTGCAGAGTCAGCCCCAAAGGATTAATGTGGTTTGTAAGAAAGGCACCCCTCTGTAAATAGACTTTCTTTACGTACCATCTGTAATGAAATCCCTTAGGAGTCTGACTTTAAGAGACTATTTGTTGCCACCAGCCACAGTTTTGGAAGTTGAGGATGCAAAGAAATCACTCTCTGGTCTGCTCTGTAGGAATAGCACCCCATCCTCATCTTCCTTTTCCCTTTCCCTTTTGTATTTTTGAAGGATTTGGGCAGTTTCTATCTTCACTAATCTGACTGCATCTAAGTGACAGGGCCACACCTCTTGTCTGTCCCCACACGCTTGCACCAGCTCAACTCTTCAGCTTATTTCAGGCTGCTGTTGATGGTTGCCTGATTATGACCTTTCACCAGCTTTCGAGGCCCTATATTTTCTGGTAAATCCCAATGTGGCAGTTTAGGGAAGGCAGGTGGACATCAAGGAAGCTGTCCAATTTTCTGTAGTGGGAATTGGGGACATTTAAGCCTCACAGGCGTCCTGCCAATGCCAGCAAGACCCAGGAGTCAGCAGGCTCAGGCGGTGGGGAGAATTGTGACAGAGCAGGACTGTGGCTGACAGAAGGCCTGCATAGGCCCAGGTGAGCCCCTGAAAACATGCTCGAGAAGCAGGGAGTAATAGTGCTCTGTGCCTGTGTGTACTCAAGCTGGCTTCTTGCAGAGTCAACAAGTAAAGCTTGGGAAATTGCCACAGCTCTTCATCCTTTCCTCCTTCCCTAAAACACAGCTATCAAAACCACAAGTGGATGCTTGTATTTTGTGGGATGAGCCTTTATTGAAATACTTGACATTTAGTTCCTCTGCTCATGTAATTTTCTCTTTTCAAAGGGACATTATACTTTGCATGGGAGTCTCTTGCTGGGTTCTCTAAGCCATTTTTAAGAAACAGTCCATGTAAGTACAACATTCAGGCAAATGCTTAGGCCCAGGCTGCCAGAGGTCAGCATCACAGCCCTACCTGGGAAGTACTTCCGATCAACATAGTTTATGATAGTTGTCACAGGCAATATAGTCTCCTCACATGTGTGTTGGATCTGGTCAGGGGGTAGAACAAATCCATGAGTACCCTTGTCTCACAGTTCAAATGTGTAGGAGAAAGGAATGCCAATCATGTGAGCCCAGTCCCATGAGAAGCCTGAGTTACTGTCTGTGAATTTAAAAATAGAGGGGAGATATATGTATTAAGCACGGTTCTTTGAAAATACTTCTTGCTATAGTTAATGCAAGATTATACCAGAATCCCTGAACTAAGCAGTAACCATATATCACTCTGACATGGAGAGCAGAGTTTCTAGGTGCTGCAATTCTTAATTATACTAAAAGTCTTCCATGGAGTTTCCTAAGTGAAACAATCCTCCATAAGATGGTATTGTACAATAACAGGAGATGAGTTCCAGGGATTCTGTGTTTTTAACATTTTACTGTGATTGGTATGGGGTACAAGATGGATTGGCTATTTGTCTGTTCTGATACTTCATTTCCTACATTGGCACTGCCTGGAATTTCTTTGTATATTTGTTTTTAAGCATAATTTTGGTCAAGTCTGAAAAAATTATGGCTGTTCATCTGCCTCATGGATCTTTTTTCTTACCTATTCAGCATAAGTACAAAATCTGGCAAAATGCAGTCCTAGGCATGGACAAGTTACCTTATACTTACACTGCATTGCTCATGCAGTAGGTGACTCGTGTGACTCAGGGACTGGCACAGACAGATGCTGTGAATATGCAAAACCACATGGGTACCAGCGCCAACTACTTACTGTTCTGAGTGACTGGCATGAGTTATTGCTTACTGGGAAAAGATTGGGTTTACTCGGCAGCCTCTAGGGCCCTCTAGTCCTCTACGTAAAGGCTGTCAGCTAGTATCAGCCGTGATGGTGTGTTTGTGATGTAGCTATCCAGTCTACTAGGAACGAGGCTGAAACCAACATATTTCACACACAACTGCATGCAGCTGCCATGTGATAACGTCTGATGGAGTAACTATAGACCTGATTGGGATTTTAATTTTTGCTTGACTCCAGTGAAGAAAAATAAGAGTTTTGCTGCTGACTTCAGCAGGGTCAGGATGATCTATCACCAATCTCCTCCTGTCCCCTGTGATGTATCTGTGAGGAATTCATGTAGGAACTAGCTTCTGATCAATGCTTCCTTCCTTCCCGCAGTCAGCTTTGTAACGTACAGTGTTATCTTGTATTCAAATGGCTGCTGCTTAGATGTTCCACTGAACCAGCCCATTAAATATTACTCAAAGAGGAAACTCAGCAAAGCAGTACTTACTGATGCCTGTGACACAAGAATGACTCTGTTCTTTGAAAAACAGAGCAATCAAAGGGAACCATAGAGAAACTTACATAAAATTAAAGAGGTTGATTCTACTTCATAGCTAGTCCCATACTTTCCCATCAGGGCAGCAGCTGCTTTCTCTGCAACATGCATCTGTAAGTTCGAAATAGGAACAGCATTGTCACCAGTGCCAGTACATTTGGCAATTATTTTGAGTGGACCAAAATTTTTGTCTCTTTCAGCTTTACATTTATGTATGATCAGCTTTAAGTTTTGATATTATTAGTTCAGGACTTTAGAGAAAACATTACAAACATTTGGGCAAATTGTTCTTGATTTTTTTAATGCAAATTATGTTAAAATTTTAAAAATTACTCTGCTATTAGGTAGAGAAGATATTTGCTTTGTTGTAAAGCTAAAGGGCTGTATTTTGGAGAATTAGTGTCTATGCTGTATAGCATACTGATACTGACTACAGCAGTGATTGATCTCTTACACTTGTTATATTGCCATAGACTCTGTATCCCACCGTCTTCAGAAGCTGAGCCATAGACAGACTAAATGACGTCTCCAGTGACTCATATGAAGTCTGAACCCAAGTCCCTCATGCTCTTGACTAGTGCTCCAGCTACTGGAATGTTCATAAATACACATGTTAATGAACTCAAATTAGAACACTCAGAAACTGAGGGAAGACATAACCAAGAAGTAGGTGCCTACTTTGCTCCCATTCTCCTAGTGAGCACATTTGGAATACCCTTTCTGGACACAATCATGACAACCATGTGTGTATAATGTGCTGGCATCCTAAAGTGCAAACGCATTCTTGTATGCAGCAAGAACTTTGTGCTCTTCTCCACTTACCTTGCATTGCAGTAACCCTATCTGTGGTCATTCAATTTTCCTGATTTAAGGTGAAGGATTAGGATTAATTCTGAGGCAAATAAACCTTGCTGATACTGCATGGAGCGGCAGTGACTCTGGAAGCCAAGCCCCTGAATAAGCCCAGCTCCTCTGAAGAAAAGGAAAGAGGGCAAATATAGTTGTGCCACATGCTACTGCCTGTACTTGTTCTCTACAAGTGTAGAAGATGAATGTTTTGCCCTACCAGTTCTTCACTGTTACTTGGAGGTTTAGTTGTGGAACCATACGGAGTGAGGATGTACTGTCTGTAGGAGTGAATTGTTAAATAGCACAAAATGTCACTCTTCTTCCTTTCGATAAACTGAGCCACAGCTCTTGTCTCAGGCTCTGATGCTGGTCCAGATCCACAGAAGATTTTACTGCTGCAGTTATAAGAAACACCAATACCTGGAGAGGAATACAAAAAGTGAATCAAAGGAGAGACGTATAAACACCAGTTCAGAGGGAACAGGGAAATTTACCTTGGAGTGTTAAGGCATGTGTTTCTGTGGGCAGGGAGACTAGACAGCTCAGTGGGACTTTAACATTTTACTCTGTTGGTAGCAACTAAAATTTGCTACAAGACTGAAATACTTAATGCACATTTACAGACTGGCTGCAATGAAAACACTCTGACACCACCACAGTGTACCACTTGCCAGGGAATCTTTGGAGGCTCCTTGAAATTCATGGCAAACACAAATACTGGCTGTTAAGTGACTAACTCCTAACATTGCTGCCTAGAGCCGATGCTTGCTCCTGCAGTGAATTAGAGGTATAGTTATATAAGCAGCAATTTTCTGCTCACAAAAATAAATACCAGTTGAAAGTCAATGACTTAATATTTTTACAAACCAGGTTTTTATTTTTACATATGTCTTGATGACAACAAGATAAGTATTCCTTTCTTATAGGGCTTCATCTTATTTCAGAGACTAGTTATTATTCTTGCTTTACATTTGTGTTGCTGATCTGAAATACTTGGAACTTATTGCCCCAGGAGGAATTGAAGTTTCAGTTCAGGTCTGTCCTGTAGCAGGTGCCATTCATATGTGGAGAACGGTTTTTCCTCCACAAATGATCCTAAACAAAAGTAACTTCAGTTACATAATAACAACTCAATGATCCATAGGGCCTAGTGATAATACGGTGTAAAGACTCCTTCATTTTAGACCTCTGCATTCTGAGTAACTCTTGCATTGTAAGAGTGCAACTCTGTGTGTAAGGGTGATAAAGCTTAGTGAGTGACAGAACATTTTATCTACTACAGCCAGGCTGTCATATTCCACAAGCCTGCATGCACCTTGAAATGATCCTCCTGAGCTTTAAAAAAAAAAGTATGCTTTTTCTGTAGTACTCAACTGCTTCCATGCAGTGTTGCACTCCTAAGAAAGACTTGGCATTGTGAGGGATGCCTCTGTGTCCAACAGATGATAGCTGAACTTATGTTTGTTTCAGATTCAAGAAGATGAATGCTTTTTTGTCAGCTAATCTTGCTGCTGCTCCTTGGTTCCCTGCTATACTCACTGCTATACTTGGTTCTCTGCAGAACTCACTGCACTGCCTGTATGAGCTTCCCAGCTGAATTACCTGTGCATCCAAGTGCAATGGGTGGTATGCCGCAAACTTGCCAGGGAGCAAGCTGGGAGACAGCAGGATCCACATGGTGGTAGGCTGAGCCTGTTGGGCCATGCAGAGGTCCTGCATTAAAAGGTGTTTTGACTGGGCTCAGGAGCCTGGAAGCATGATGAGAGTTGCTGAAGACCAACACTTTGCATTATCCTCCATATCTGAAAAGGAAGATTATTTGGGAGGGCACACCTATTTCAAAACCAAATAGCCCAATATTTGATCAATTCTCCTCCTGTCCCATGCTGCAAAGGTGCTTAGACCCATCTGCTAGTTGAGATCTCTTGCAAAGAATGACTGACTCCTCTGGACACACTTAACTCCATCAACCAAGCCTTGAGCTGTTAGCCTTACTTCCAAGGGAAGTAAGTCCATCCCCAGAAACCCAAAAGCAATTGATCCTGTGGTTTTGTCCTTCTCTCTTCCCGAGGCTCATGACATTTGCTAGGAATTTTTAGCCCTGTAATCTCAAGTGACTGCTGATTTACCAGAAGAAACAAAACCTTTCTGCCATGAGAGGATTTCTGTGAGTAATGATTCTGTCACTGTTCTCTGTTTAAATATAATTGCTATGATTGTATCTAAAATTAACAAAACATGCTGTGCACATCTAACTTGCAATCTAGTTCCTGGATTTTCACTACTTACTTACTTTTTCCCAGGAATAGATGTAGCCATCAATATTGATGACTGGCAAGACACAGAGGTCCAAATTCTGCAGAAATCTGCTTATCTTTGGGTCATATTTGTAATTTTGAATAATCCGAAAAGAAAAAATACAGAAGACTGAGCAGAGAACCTAGTGGTAATCACTGGAAAGAGCTAGTTTAGAACTATCATCAGGGAATCACTCACTCCTGGATATCACCGTGGTATCCAAGATCTACTTTATCCCCAGATATGTTAAGATATTTACCTTTTGCCATTAACAAAGTGACAGTGTTCCCAGTTATAGTGTACTTCATATGGATACAGTCTTGCAGGTATGAAAGCTGTATGATAGAGTACTTGTGCGCCAGGTACTTTCAGTACACGTGGGACATTGCTATACCATATCTTAGGGTTGCTTTATTCCAGGGGGACCTTGGCTTTGTGATGCAGAGAGGCTTGATCCAAAAGCCACTGTGGGAAATGGAGAGATTGCTATCTAGTTCAGTGGCTTTGGAATAAGTTCATGTGGAGGAAACAATGTGCTAACAAATATTGTCCCATATCTCATCTCAAACTGTGATTTGGACTTAGGGTCTCCACAGATATCTGTACTATGTACTAATTTTGAAAATCATGTTTCAACAGAAAAGCATAATTCTTGGTACCACAATAGAGAAGAGAACTGAAGTATCCAAAGTGATATGGTTTTTTTATTAAGCGGAAAAGTGAGGACTCACTTCTTTCACAAACCAGTGGCAGAAGACTGGAGAGATCCATTCTCTGGCATGAATCCCACAGTCCATCCAAATGATCTTTTTGGTTTTATCTGATGGTTGATTGATATGAGAGAGTGTAAAAATGATCATCTGGAAAACTGTTACATTACAATAAAATAGCCTAGCATAATACAGAAAGAAAAGGATGTGCCTTGATATGCCATTGAGACATCTGAGATTATTATTATTACAGACATCATTATGACAAGCTCTCCTTCCTAATAACCCCATCTCTGTAGTATCACAGGGCAAGAGTTTTAAAGTGTCTGTTGAGCAGGAGTGTCAATAAAACAGTTTCTTTTTCATTTATATTAGTCATTCACAGGACTGATTGTTCTTACTTTGAGATTCTTTTTTTTTTTTTTTAGAAGGGGAAGCACAAAAAGGCAGGGAATCTAATTTTACTCAGTGATAGGAACAAATTAGACAATAACTAACCCAATTATTAAGACTATGGTTTTTACTAGGGCGTCCAATAAAAAATGTCAAGGAATACTCCTAGCAGGAAGGCTATATGCTGTAAAAGGTAATAAAACCAACAAAACAAAACTCTTTATCCTCACACACAGCTGTTGCCAAGCTAGTTTCAGCTTGATTTGTATTTCTAAACAAGACTTCAGTTAAATTTGTTGTTTTCACTGCATAATAGCAGTAGCAAGGTTATGGTAATAGTATATATGAAAGCTGGCAAATCTTACTGTACTGTAGACAAGTAAAACCATCTCCTGTTATTTCAGTGAATTGGGATGAGCACTGTCTTAGGAAAGATCTGAATCCTGCCTTCTCCTGTGTACTTTTTTGTGAAGATACCTTTTATTCCTTATAAGAAAGTTCCTCCCTTACCTGCAGATAATACATTGTTCGGTTCTCGATTGTCTTCCCCAGGTAGTGCTGAGTCACCAGCCCACTGTGGTTCTTCTGGATCTGAGTTATCCATTGATAAATCTGAAATAGTCACAGGGAATTCTTGGTCCAAAGTGGGAGTTTCCTTCTCTTTCACACCTCCATTTCTAGATTAAAGCTTTTTTTTTGCTTAGACAAGCAACGTTTTCCTCAGAGCTTATTTCAATCTGTGGTATCACTTAACACTCATGGAAGGCCTTTCATTTGCTTCTGAGCAAAGATATGGTCATATCTCACTGGGTATTAAAAGATAACATCACTGCAATACAACACTGGTACTCTATTCTGGATCTCATTCAACATGCCCATCCTATTGGGCATCTTTCTCTTAACTTCACCAGACGTGGAGTGACACCATCAAATCTTAGAATCATAGAATCATAGAATAGTCCAGGTCGGAAGGGACCTCTAAAGGTCATCTAGTCCAACCCCCCTGCTGTGGGCAGGAACATCTTCAACTAGATCAGGTTGCTCAGAGCCCCGTCCAACCTGACCTGGAATGTTTCCAGGGATTCGGCATCCACCACCTCTCTGGGCAACCTGTGCCAGTGTTTCACCACCCTCAGTGTAAAAAATTTCTTTCTTATATCTAGTCTAAATCTACCCCCCTTTAGTTTAAAGCCATTCCCCCTTGTCCTGTCGCAACAGGCCCTGCTAAAAAGTTTGCCCCCATCTTTTTTATAAGTCCCCTTTAAGTACTGATAGGCTGCAATAAGGTCTCCCCGGAGCCTTCTCTTCTCGAGGCTGAACAACCCCAACTCTCTCAGCCTTTCCTCGTAGGAGAGGTGTTCCATTCTTCTGATCATGTTTGCGGCCTTCCTCTGGACCTGCTCCAACAGGTCCGTGTCTTTCCTGTACTGAGATACCCTGCATGTGCCATTGCAGATGTAGACAAAATTGGAGATGCAGATACCCTTGCAGGTAGAGACAGAATTGTTGATGCAGATACCATTTCAGAGGAAGGTTATCTTTGTAGACGCCATTGCAGCTGCAGATAAAATTCAAGATGCAAATGCAGATGGAGAAACCTTTGCAGATGCAGATAGCATGTGCAGCTATGCTTGCAGATGCACAGAAAATTGCAGATGCCCATACAGGTGCAGATACCATTGCAGATGGAGAGATATCATTGCAGATACTGATACATGTACGCTTACGGAAACCATTGCAAGTACATGTGCAGATACAGATACCATTACTGATGTACAGTTACAGGTACAGTTATGGATACATACAGAATACGAGACATAGATGCTGGTACCATCAGAAATACAGGTACTTGGTACCATCACAGACACCATCACAGGTACTGATACAATTACAGACACAGATATCAATTAAATATGCAGATACAATTGCAGTTACAGGAAAGAAATATAAAGAATTGACGATACCATTACAGACTCCATTGCTGATGCTATAGCAGATACACACACCATTGCAGATGTCGATGCCGCAGCAGGTGCAGATACCATTGCAAAGACCATTCCAGATCACATTGCAGATGCAGCTGAAATTTCAGGTGGAACTATAGATGGAGATGCCATTGAAGATGCTGGTGCCACTGCAGATGCGATTGCCAATGAAGATACCTTTGAAGATGCTGGTGCCATTGCAGACACCATTGCAGAAGCAGATGCCACTGCAGATGCCACTGCAGATATAGAGGGCCTTGCAGATGCAGATACCCATGCAAATGCAGAAGTAGTTGCTAATGACATTGCGCATGCAGACAGCATTGCAGACGTAGGTATCATGCAAATGCCATTGCAGTTGTGGGACATGCTCAATACCGTTGAAGGTGCCCTTGAAGATACCACAGCAAATGCCATTGAAGATACCACGCCAGATGCAGATACCGCTGCAGATGCCACTGCAGATGGAGATACTATTGTAGATGCAGAGGCCATTCCAGATGGAGGTACTGCTGCAGATGCAGATACCATTGGAGATGGTGTTGCAGATGCAGAGACAGTAGAAGAAGAACATTCGACTGGAGATAGATACCACTAAAGATACCTTTGCAGATGCCGTTCCAGCTGCAGATACCATTCCAGATGCCATTCAAGATGCAAATACTATTCCAGGTGGCATTACAGAATGAGTTCACATTGCGGAAGCCATTGCAGATACATTATCAATGCAGATACAGTTGCAGGTACCATTAGAGACACAGATACTGGCACCATCAGAAATACAGGTACTGGTACCATCAGAGACACCAATATAATTACAGACATGGACTCACATGGAATTGCAGATACAATTGCAGATGCAGGCACAAAATAAATACAATTCCAGATACAGACACAATTACACATACAATTCATGATACAAGTACAGTCACAGATACAAGGACGCATTCAATTGCACAAACAGCAGCAGATACAGCAAGTGATACCATTACTGACTGAGGTACCGTGACAGACAGAGGAACCATACACATGAAGGCATTGATGCCAACACAGCTACCATTACACACAGGTGTGCTGTTACAGGTAGAGGTACAGCTAAATTTACAGATAGCTACACAGCCAGTCACAGATAGGGATATGGATGAGGATACAGAGATGAATACCATTGCAGATACCTTTGCAGAGGCACAATCCATTTCTCATAACACTGCAGATGCAGAAACCAATGGTAGTAGCGTTGCAGATGCAGATGCCACTGCAGATTGAGATACCATTACAGATGCCAAAACAACTGCAGATACCTTTGAAGAAGCCAATTCAAGTGCAGATACAGATACCGGTGCAGATCCCATTGCAGATGCCATTCCAGGTGCAAGTGGTGAGAACAAGGTCCAGCATAGCACCTCTCCTTGTTGGCTCCTCTACCCCTTGGAGAGGGAAGTTATCATCGACGCATTCCAGGAACCTCCCGGATTGCTTATGCCCTGCCGTGTTGTCCCTCCAGCAGATATTGGGCTGGTTGAAGTCCCCCATGAGGACCAGGGCTTGTGAGCGTGAGGCTGCTCCTATCTGTCTACAGAGGGCCTCATATGCTCAGTCTTCCTGGTCGGGTGGCCTGTAGCAGACCCCCACTGTAATGTCACCTGTCCCATAAGCTCTTGGTCGGTTCCTCATCCACCCCCAGGCAGAGCTCCATGCATTCCAGCTAGTCATTGACATAGAGGGCACACCCCCTCCTTGTCTCCCCTGCCTGTCCTTCCTAAAGAGCCTGTATCCCTCCATTCCAACACTCCAATCATAGGAGCCATCCCACCACGTCTCCGTGACGCCAATAAGGTCATAGCCCTGCAGGCGTGTGCACGTCTCTAACTCCTCTTGTTTATTCCCCATGCTACGTGCATTTGCATAAAGGCACTTAAGTTGAGCCCCCGATGAAGCTGTCTTACTGGTTGGAGTTCCTTTGTGCTTCAAAACAGTATTACAGTCTCTTGCCTATCAGTACTGATTTTCCACATCTCAGTTCAGCAGCAGTCATCCCCAATGGGTAGCTCAAAGGAAATATACATGAGGATTGACTCTGCTCTCTCACTCTTATTATGTGGCTAGGAGGAAGAATACCACCATGCTCTGCCTTTGTCCAGGCTTACCCACTGGTCTGTGAAAAATAGCACCAAGAAGTCTTCACTACCCACCGTCATGACATAATTCTCTCCTGAAGTGTCAAAAACCTGTCCTTAAATTACTTCTTTCTACAGATCTCCCACTGTTCACCTCTTCTCCCTCACTGGGATTCCAGAAACCGCAATAGTCATTGCACTTCACATTTGGCTCAGCATCAAACATACTGGGGCTTAAATGAATAAATACTAGAGATAATGATAAAGCATAATAGGATAGAAAGGTAGCAAAGCAATCAACTGAACCCCAGAATATTATTTGCAAAAGAATATGGCTGCTTCACGCAGAGCATTTAGGTTTTGGTCAGGGAGGAATTGAGGATTTAATCAAAATCAATGGCAAATTCATGTTCAGTTTAACCAGGCCAAGATTCTAGCCAAAGAGTAAGGACTGATTCTGCAAAGAAGAAAGCCAGAAAGAGCTCCACTGACTTCAGCTGAGCTTTCTGCAAGCCCAATGTTGCCTGCTGGTGGCATTTAGAAAATAGCAGCAACAAAGAAAGCAAGCAGACTTGGGTTCCTCTTTACCTCTTCCATTGGATGATATTGGGTGTAGACACAATCTTCTGGGACCTGCCCTTGGCATGCTCTGATCCACAACTTCCTGCACATCAGGTATTAGGACTCTGAGGGGAGGGGAAAAGGGGAGATATAGAAAAGAAAACAGTCCCTAACAATTACTGCAGAACTACCATAGTGGGTACATTGCTTACATCAACAAATGAAAGGATTTAGGCTCTTCTGTTGTGGACTGCCTGGCAAATTCATCACCATCAGCATAACGGTTACTTTCATGTAAGAGAAAGTTCAAAGTACTGGGATTTTCACAGGGTTTTAACAATAAAGTAATAATTTTACCAGATTTTTTTTAAAGATTGACAATTTTCTACAAAAAAAAAAGTTCAATATCTTTCTTTTCTCAACCACTTTTACTACTGGGCGAAAGTCTAAAATACCACCTTTTGGGAAAAGGGGGGGAAAGTGAAAAATTTAAGATTAGTGTTTCATTGTATTTTATGGAGACATTTTCAATTTGCAAAGACTTCACAGAAGCATTCACTGAAATTTGCAAAAATCAGAACAAAACCCGTCTTTCCTTCAAAAAGCTCTTCTTGCTTTTTAGCTACAAATTAGTTCAGAAATGAGTATAGCACAGGTGTGATTCCATGATCAAGGGAGTCAATAAAACCTTTTCCTTGGCTTCAGAGGACTTTGGATCACACACTGAGCTTGCTCACTGCAATCAGCCCCTTGTAACACTGTTACAAATCTGTGGTCATTGTAAACACTTGCGATAAGACAATTGCAAAGGTAGCTTAAACATTGTTGATTTCAAACACTAAGTGCTAATAGGCTATTCTGCTGACAGTAGCACTGATCGGCATTTCTGGAAACTGCACATAAGAAACTTTTAAGAGTAGTTACAGCTGAATTTCACTCTAGGCTTTGATGTTTATTCACATCTGAACTTCAAACTAAAATTCAGGCAGTGCAAATTCCCATGAACTGAAACCACACACGCAAAATGCCTTATCAGAGCTCTGGGGAATTGAAATCCCACAGTCTGACACAGACAGAATATTGATGTCCTGATTATAATTTGTCATTTATGTCTCTATCATTATACACCTAACTGTCATGTTACCTTCCTTGCATGTCAACTGCTTTCTAAAAGGTGGTTCCTGCTTTGAATCTGTTAGAGGAACTTTAACTCTAACATTGCCATACTCATAATCTCAATGCCTTTGCAATACAAAGCGAAAATTTCAGTTTGACTATCAAATTACCCACCTCTTTCTTTAGGACCCTACAGAAGGTGGATACAGTTGTGGCCCCAGTCCAAGTAAAAAAAAAAGATTAAGCTGCTAACTTCAGTTTGGTCTTTAAATTTCCACTAGACTCAGATGAAACCATTAGAAAATGAAGAACCTTGATATAAATAAGAGGTTAAATATCTTCTGGAACTTTGTCTAAGTCCTGAATACCTAAACCTCATGCTAGATCATTTGTACTGGCTCCCACCTCATTTCTCTCCATCTCTGGTTGCCAGGGCATCATACTTATTAAAAAGAATTTGTCAGGCAAAAGGCAGGATGTCAAGATCAGCTTTAACTCTAAACAGCTTTGAAGTGGCACCAATCCTCCTTCAACTTATCTTTGATTGGTAAATGTCAATGTATGTCCATAGGCCATTTGTCAGCAGCCCTGAATGACTACAGGATTGTTTATGTGAAATACAGCTAGCTACTGGTTACCTGAAAAAGTCAGTTCCAAATGGGAATGGGACTGTGTGAGGAATATATCTTATTTAATCCCATTTGGCTTTATAAACACACTTTGTATCTGGATGAGATCTTCTGCTTAGAAGAAGTGTGGCAGATAGTGAAGATGTGTGGCTGGGTGGGTGTGACAAACTATCATGAGCCATTTGCAGCTTGTGGCTTATGGCTCCCAATTGTGTGCGCAGTGGGGACCTGCCACCGGGACCTTTGTCCCAGGCTGGGATGCCTCTGTTTGGCTGGATGGTGCCAGGAAATTCTCACCAGCCTGGCGGGGGGATAAGGGTAGGAAACTGCAGCTTTGAAGAATCGAAGAATCATAGAATCATAGAATAGTTTGGGTGAGAAGGTACCTCTAAAGGTCATCTAGCCTAACCCCCCTGCCGTGGGCAGGGACATCTTCAACTAGATCAGGTTGCTCAGAGCCCCGTCCAACCTGACCTGGAATGTTTCCAGGGATGGGGCATCCAGCACCTCTCTGGGCAACCCGTGCCAGTGTTTCACCACCCTAAACTGGCTGAATATTCACTTTGAAAGGGCTCTTCTCCAAACCAGAGGAGCAACAAAAGACAGGGAAGGGAAAAGGAGAGCTACAGAGACTGCTGCTCTGCAGTGACACTGATTAAACCTTTGGGCTCTCCAAAATAGGGATGACCCTGTGTTCAAGTATCCATGCTTTCCAAGAGCAAAGCATGCTCCTGTAAGTAGTGGTTGTACCAAGTTTGGCTTCCCGACTTTAGACTAAAAAAGTGAGTCATACATCTGAGCGCCATCCTGTGCCACTGAGAAGGCAGCAGCAGGGAAACAAGACAGACTGGACTGTCTCAGATCCCAGCTCCAAATTCACAGACCAGGCTAGTTGGAAGGTGAATAAACGGGGCATGGGGGAATGTGCTTTTAAAACTCATTTTTATTTAGCATCTGTTCATTGGGCAGGTCACGGTAAGTTGGAGGCACTTGGAACAAAGGTTGGTCCTATCGTCAGTACTTGCTGACTGTTCATTGGAAAGGACTAGGTTCTTTTGTGATAGCAAGGAAGATTGTTAGAGCCAGCCTTTCCCATCAGGAAATTAGAGGTTGTACTTGTAAGAGATCATATGCTGATCTGAGCTGTCTTTCACCTCCTACACCAGAGGAGCTGGGACCCTTATGTGCAGGTCTTCTCCAGCCCATATGTCTTCAGGCATCAGGGACTTCCACAAATCCAGCTGTGCAGAGGAGAAGAAAGAAATGCACAAATCAAGCTCTGTTTTCAGAATGAGAAAATATATTTAAGATAGAGTAGCTGCATAACAATAAATGGAAGAAGTCTTCCTTCAAATTATCCCCTTAACTATTCTCCAGCCATCTGTTCATAGAGCATGTGGCACAGGCTTGGTGTTTCCATTGACTCAGGCACCACTGATAAGGAGCAACACCTTCACAGAGCCATGCAAGCAAACTAACTTATTCCCATAAATTCCTTCAGGTAGTGGAAGGGCAATTCCACCCTACACTGAGAAAAAAAAAGTTAGGTAAAGCTTTTTCAAGTTTACTTTAACCTTCATTCCTGTCCAAAGTTACATGCAAATCTGGTTTAAAGCCCAAGACCCCACTCAGCTTTTTGGGCACACGTGGTTATTCTTACTCACCACTAAAGTCCTGCAAAGATGCTGAAGATGCTGGACTTGCTGAAATGTTTCTGGCACAATATGCAAAACCTGATCCCTGGAAATTCAGCAGAGAAACAAAATCAGTTTTAATGTCTGTATCCATGATTTCATAAGTCAAAAGGAGATGTTTTGTTATGTAGAAGGAAGACAGAGCATATAACTGAGTGCTGGTCCAACAAAAACACGTCTGAGTGATGAATTCCTGGTATGTTTTAGTTACAAATAGGACTAAGTGATGTGAGTTTTCTGTTGCTAGAGCGTTAGGTTAACTCTGCTTCCTTGCCAGTGGCAATTCTTTATTCACCATACCAGCTTCACTGAAGCCAACTGCTCGCATGAGCCCTGGTGTGTGTTTCTGCCTTTGCAGGACCAAGGCCAAAACAAGATCATAGGTAATATATAATAAACTATTTATTTGATAAGATGTCACTTTTTTTTTTCTCCTGTTTAGGAATTATTCAGTTATTCCAGATAGACGTGATGCTTTGCTGATCTATTTCAGCATGCAAAAACATTAGATAGCTATGATAAATGAACATTGCTAAGAGCTTGAGATGTTCACAAACTACTTGTCATGAGAATAGCCAGTTTATTCCACAAACAGTGAATAGCATGGTCTCCAGAATTGCATATTCTTACTCAATTCGCAGGAAACAAAAATTTCTAGTACAGGATCTATCATTTCGTATTTCTAGAAAAGACACACAGATCCAGTGTCTGAGTATATATTTTCATGAGGATCCATGAAACTTTCATTTACTACAGACTTAATCTGAAAAAAAATCGAAAGTTTACAAAGAACAAATTAATATGGTTGGAAATGCAGAAAAAGCAAATCTGTATGTTCTATCAAAAAACCCTTTGTAATTATTTTTCTAATTTTTTTCCAGTGTTTGTTCAGATCAACTTTCCAGGACTGATAGCAAGTGTGACATTTCTAATGAAAGGGTTTCATAATAAGGAGTGGATTTTGATGAGTACATTACATTACTCAAAAGTGAGACAGCAGTTATCCACTACTGATGTGATAGAATGGGGAACCCGAGAAATGTTCGTATTTGTTAGTAACCAATAACTACTGCTTCACAGTCTGCTTCGGTGACTTCAATGGGCCTTGGAGCCTTTACAGGACAAGTACAGAAAAAGAACATTTTACATTTTAAAGCTTTTGTAACAGAAATTCTTGTTGCAAAAGCCTCGCATGTCTTTTTATTAAAGCCATGGTCACTACGGTCATCAATATAATATGCTCTCATCATCTGAACTGCGACTGCTATCATTTGTGCTTCCATACACAAATGTACAATTATCAGCTTAATATACATGCAAATAGAATTCACTATTCATTCACATCATCCACTGAAAAATAAGGGGATTGGGGTTTTTTTACATCTCTCTTGAAAATATCACCTTTGCTGATGATACAGAAACGTAGAACTTGATAGTTAAAATGGGCTGTTTACTACTGGTTCAGGAGATGCTGTTAGCATGTAGGACCCTCATCTATGGGGCAAAATGATTACATTTGCATTGCTAACAATTTGGTACAACAGCCATGATATCTTTGTAATAAACCTTGTAGATGCAGGATAAACATCTTTGCTAGGAGAATAAACATCTCAGCTGCAGTTCAGAGTTTATTCTCTCTAAATGCCTGGGCTTGCTTTGCTCTTTGTCTATC